TTACTTAATTTTTATGCTTTTAATAATTCATCCAAACATCTCATTATACCGATTAGTCTCATACCATTAACACCCATTTCATTATTATTACACTGCCACTGGTCAATCAGTAACATGTTTGCTATGGGCTTTCCATTAGATCCACCAGACTGACCTATCACGTTAAGCGAATCGCCTTCCAGAAACCAAATAGGAGCTGAAGCACATAACCCGCAAGGTTTTAAGCAGGCAAGGCATTGTCTCATAGCGACTTCTGCTATTGCGTGTGGCACTTTGCTCTAGTGGCTAGAAGTGCAAAAATGCGTCACGAAAACAGAAGCAAACAAAGTATGCACAGAGAATAGAGATCATAAGCAAACCGAAGGCCACATCATCAAAGTACCTAATTATAAACTTGGTAATCTTTTGTATTTAATAACCACATATATCAGTTCGCATTTGAAGCTTTCTTAAGTATCTAAAAGAATGTAGGCTTCATGAAAAACTTATAGTAATTCTTCCTTTGGCATAATTTTTAATTAATTAACTTGTTCAGTGTATCTTTTATCCCTGTCTTTTATGACCTCAGAATGAAACGTCAATATTTTTAGTCGATTAATATTTGCACAAAAGATAGTAGTTATTTTTATAAAGCCGATTTGTCGGACTTTTCTCACCTGTGCAAAGAGGAAGTTGAAGGTGTCGTCATTGTAGAAGTAATTTTTTATAGATTTTAAGTAGATAACGACATCTTTGAATTGGCGTAGGATAAAGAAGCATGATGACATGCACTGCCGACCTGTTAATGTGTCGCATTCGCTCACAGAAGCTCCGACCAGCTGAAAGTACTGTTGAGCCAAGCGTAGATGTTCTCGAGAATTGTGCTCTTGGCCTATGCCAGCGTTTACAATTGCCTTAAGCACGTATTCCATTGGTACACCGGGGTCAATGTCACGGACAAGTTCGTAGGCCGAACGAATGTCTTCATTCTTTAAATGATAAATGATAAGGTTGAGCCGTGCCTCTGGTAGAACATCTATCAGTGGTGGCAGGACCTATTTTAAAACAAAGGTGAGAAGGCGGTTTGAAGGGGACATTCATTTTTTTAGATTGTTATAGAAGTAAGATTCAACAAAAATAATCATAAGCTTAATCGAAAACTAGTTACAATTCATATGGGACTTGTAAACTTTGAGCAATGTATACTAAGGTGGAATTTTAGGTTAAGAAGGGTTTGATAGCAGACACCATATTATATATAATTAGTTGGACGATAAACTTTTTCGTTCACGCATTTTTTAGTGTTCTTATGAAAAAAGATTAATCTGCGTGGTCTTTTATCTGAATGAGTCTTAGCTTATAACGAATTGCAGAGGCCTTAAACAGCCCTAATAAATCCAAGTGAGAGTAAGCATTATGTATTTGTATTTTATGGCACTCTTCCAAAAGTAATCGGGTGTAGATAGATGTATACAGGTTAATAACTCTTGGTTTTAAAACAAACTTATTCTGAATATGTCATACTCTATATTGTAATAGCAAACACAAATTTGCTTAAGCGATTATTCCATTGTAAATATGGGTTTCGAAGAAAAACTGGGTTTCGAAGAGTCCCTTAGTAGATTGATGTTGGAGTACCTTTCATTTTGTTTGAAGAGGGGAGTAGGAGGGATTCGTAAGTTGGTTTCACCCGAGGCTGTGGAGAGTTGCCTTGGAGCTGTGGTTGTAGTTTTGTGCGAATAGGTCCTTGGCCCACCGCCCTGCGACCCCGATAAATCCTTGCTGAGCTTTCGTCCGTCATGTGACGGACATAATCAGAGTAGGATAAAATTGTTAACGATAATTCACTAAAACACGAAGGCAAGGAAGGTGGCTGGCTTCAAACCTACCTACTTGTTATTGTCCAATTAGGTTCACTTATGCAAGAAAGATGTGTATAGGAAACCCACAACTGCAAGTTTTCTTCTGAATTTCTTCTCCAACCAGGTTAAAGTATGAATTATGAAGTCTATTATAATAAGGAGCCTGCGTCTGGCAGTTGTTAAACTTCGGGAGCAAGAACTGATGAGACTAAGGAGAATTATGGTTTGGAATAATTATCCACGAGGGCTGGTTGACAATTATTTTATTATATTATCAAATTGGGTGAAGGGAAATAAATAGTTGGGGTTGGATAAAAGATAGATCACTCTTCCATTTCGAGTAGAAGTGTTGGGTAAGGAGATTCGAAGGTCGGTTCCACCAGAAGACGACGTCGGAACCGACCTTCGAATCTCTTCAGCCAACACTTTTACTCGAAATGGAAGTAAGCTCAACAATTATGAAACAAGAGATTCCTCTAAACCCAACTTTTCTTCGTATAGATCACTCTACCAGATCCTTATGCTGCCACCGTGTAATTCGTTGAAAAGGATAGGCGAGTTACTGAGGAGGTAAAAGATAAAAAAACATTTATAAAGAGAAAATAACCCTTTCCTCGGTATTATCTTCTTTTCGAGAATACTCTGATACGTTCTCCAGATCGGCCTTTTACAAGATTTTCGTGTTCGTGTGGTAGCGCCTCTGCGGGAGAGACTTGTAGGCCCATACATAAGAGGTTATTCGAACAGAAAACAGCCTGCAATGGTATGTGGGTCCAAAAATCAGAATTTGCCGAGCATATGAGTCTCACAGGACACCAGAAAGATTGGTGTAAGGCCAAACGCTTAGCTGGAGATGGAGACTATATCACAAGCGAAAGATTAGAGAGGCGATAGAAATCGACAAAAGAGCCAACAACCTGAATACAAGGAATGAGTGTAGGAAGTTAAGCGGAAACTAGCTGTGGTTGTTAGATAGGTTTAGAGGGAGATGAGGGGGAACAAGAGGTACCACTAACCATAGGAGGCTTGATCAGGCTGGAATCTGGTTTTGACTCTCATATCACACTCATTTCAAGAGATATGCACTCACACAAAACGTGTGCAATTGGACGCAATCACATGCGGTAAAATTGCAGGATCAAAACATACGTGTTTTAGGGGAGGATGCAACTGGTTAGTTTTGGTTGCACCTGTTTCACGCTTCATCTGCACCCACTTCATATGTCATACGCAACCACTTAACTTAACCTTTGAGCAAACATATAGGCAAAGCATAAGACATCCAACAAAAACATGAGATGCCTAAGTGGACCAACTTGGACTATAACATGTAGGTAGGTTTAAGGCCGGCCACCTCTCTTTCCTTTGTGTTTTTGGTGAATTTTCGTTAAGCATGGTGTCCTGCTCTGACAATATCCGTCACATGACGGACGAAAGCTCAGCAATGACTCATCGGGATCGCAGGACGGGGCGACGAGGACCTATTTGCATAAAGCTACAACCACAGCTCCAAGGCAATTCCTTCTCAGCCTCCGGTGGGACCATTTAGAGTGAAAGTATTTGATGAAAAAATTCGAAGTTTGATCCCACCGGAAGACGACGACGAATTCCTCTTGACCAGTTGTCGATTGGCTTTGCTGGAACATTCTTTTTGACGCTGTTTCCGAAGTAATCTCAATCGATTCCGGTGAGAAGGTGCTAAGATTTTGTCCACGACATGACGAACTTCGTTAGAGCTGGGTATTATCTTTTTAACCAATGAGTCAATAAAACTTACCAGCTTATCCATAAAGCCCCGTATATGTACTCTATATCTGACTTGATTGATGAGTTATAAAGTCATTTGGTTAGTTGCAGATATGTCAACCTCAGAGTAGTAAAGTGTGCCTATCTCTGTATGCTTATGTGCCTTTATTTGTTCGCATATGCACGAAACACGCAGCGATGGCTCGAAGTAATAAGGAAATAATAAGTAACGTTTGTTCCCGGCCATCAATGTTTGATGACCACCATCACTCCCTCCCTGCATACATGTTATTACTATCGCTCTGATGGAGTAAGGTTGGATACACGTCTGATTATGTTTATGAGCTTTTTTTGTCTCTATGTGAGAGAGAAAGAGTGGGCTAAAATTGCAGGAAAGTGACCGTGATTAAAGCCAAAATAGGAAATTTAAACTCTAATTGAATCCCCTCCTTTATGTAGGTGGCTGAACACCCTCGCGATCCTTGAGTCTATTAGGTAAACACAAGGGTTAACATAATTTTAAACGTAGCATCAAACTAAACTAAAATCCCAATCCAGAAGACTATTTAAGCACTAACACTCAGCCTAGATGAGCTTCCAGAAATTATTGAGTAGGCAAATCTGAACAAGAGCTCAATCTTAAGGCTACTTAATCTATCCATGAGTAGCACATACTCTTACCTTTGATAATAGACTTTATGAATAGATGCAAGGCCCAGCAATGGGATCTTGTTTGGCTCCCATTTTGGCGAATAATTACATGTTAAGAATGGAGAAACACTTCATGGAAGAGGCACGCTTGATACCAAAACTCTTAGTTAGATATATGGATGACTACTTTTCCATGTGACAGCATTGTAAGGATAGTTTAGATAATTTCTTGTTCTAATTTAACAAGATTAACTGTAATGTTAAATTGACAATTGAGATGGAGAAGGACAATAATTTACCTTTGTTATAGGTTAAGTGATCAGAGTAGGTGATAAATTAAGCAGTGATGTATATTAAAAGCCAACACATGCTGGCCTTACCCTTAATTTCTTCACCAAACGTAGTTAGAAAAAAATGGTGGTCGTTTTAAAATATATGCTTATCCGGAGCATAAGACTAGCCGATAGAGACTATTGCGATAATCAACTGGATTAGCTAAAACTAATATTTCTTGAGAT